GGGAGGGGGTCAGCGCGCGGGGTCGTGGGGGGGCGCCCACGTCCGCCACAGACCGCCGTCGCCCGACTCGCTCCCGCGTGCGCGGGGGCCCCAGCCTCGCACCTGGAAACGCCCGCTGGGGTCCGCCACCGTCCCTGGCACAGCCCTTAGGTACCGACCCGAGTACTGCCAGGGGTCATCGCGGCAGCCTCCTGGCTCCCTCACTTCCTTACAAGTCTTAGCTCATCAGTACGCTGCGCTCACCCTAAGGTGAGGCCTCCGCTGGCCCCTCTAGGTAAGGACAGCCCCCCACGCCCCCATCCCCCGCTCTGGCCACTTCCAGCTTTGCGCTTCACTTAGCTCTTAGCACCGTCGAATATTACAAATCACTTTCTTATTCATTTGGCTTATTGTCTCTCTTCCCCACTAGAAACCTTCCAGGAAACAGTTTACTGTTGGTTTTATTCCTGGCTGGGCCCCCAGGACTAGTACACAGTAGGTGCTCAGTAATCAGTAAGTATTTGTGGAACGAATGAATTTAAGCATCACCCACCAATCTATGAATTGTCAAACTTATGTCATGCTACAGCATGGATGAACCTGGAAAGCATTAGGCTCAGTGAAAGAAGTCAGACACAAAAAAGACACAGATTGTATGATTTTAGTTATATGAAGTGTCCAGAAAAGCCAAGAGACAAAGTAGGCTGGTGGTTGCCTAGGTCTGGGGAGTTGGGGGATATGGAGGTGACTGTTTAAATATAAGGGATTTCTTCTTGGGTGATACAACTGTTCTACAATTAGATGATAATAATGGTTGCACAACTTGAATATACCAAAACCCATTGAATTGTACAAGTTAAAAGGGCAAACTTACGATACGTGAATTGTATCTCAATAAAGCTGTTACAAAAACAAAATCAAACAAACAAAAAACACCTCTCTCTCCTTGTTTTTCTACTCCCTGCCTTCTCCGGAAAGGATGCAGAGCATCATTCAGGGCTGCATAAAGCAAGGCTAGATCCAGCCACTGAAGGTGGGCCAGGACAGAAAAGAAAAATAGGGATGGGGAGTCAGCATGACCAGGCAAATACTCAAGGCTTGTCTTTGTTTTTTCTGTGCTAGACACAACACTCCACTCAGGCCCCTTCCATCAGATAATTCCCAGCGAGGAACCATGTGGTCCCAGAGCAGCCTGGGTCCAGGCCCTGTCCCACCCTCACCATGCACTTCTCCCCAGAGGCTGCCTGCCGCGAAGTGTGGGGGGAGGGGGATGGGTGGCAAAACGCAAAGTAAAGGTGCAGCCGTGACAGCTTGACTGCAGGTCTCATGCCTACAGGAGGGGCAGATTGGCCTGGGTAAGCTCTCTCACTTTCTCCTGAGTGCATGTCACATCCTGAGCCTGTTTCCTCACCTGTGAATGGGGTCAACTGAGAGTAGAGCCAGCCTGCCCTTCCCTCCCTAGTTCAGCCCACTGCACATTCACACCATGCTTCTTTCTGAAAAGCATTACATTTATGGGACTTGAAAAGAAATTACTTTTGATAATTGGGATTTGTATTAAATATCATTAATTTGGTTTTTTTTTTTTTTTGAAGATTTTGTTTATTTGACAGAGAGAGACACAGCGAGAGAGGGAACACAAGCAGGGAGAGTGGGAGAGGGAGAAGCAGGCTTCCCACGGAGTGGGGAGCCCAATGTGGGGCTCAATGTGGGGCTCGATCCCAGGACCCTGGGATCATGACCTGAGCTGAAGGCAGATGCTTAACAACTGAGCCACCCAGGCGCCCCAAATATCATTAATTTGTTGAGAAACAAAAGTATAGAAAGTATCTTTTTAGGGCGCCTGGGTGGCTCAGTTGGTTAAGCGACTGCCTTCGGCTCAGGTCATGATCCTGGAGTCCCGGGATCGAGTCCCGCATCGGGCTCCCTGCTCGGCGGGGGGTCTGCCTCTCCCTCTGACCCTCCCCCCTCTCATGTGCTCTCTCTCATTCTCTCTCTCTCAAATAAATAAATAAAATCTTTAAAAAAAAAAAAAGTATCTTTTTATTTATTTTTTTTTAAGATTTTTTTTTTTTTAAAGATTTTATTTATTTATTTGAGAGAGAGAGAATGACAGACAGAGAGCAGGAGAGGGAGGAGGGTCAGAGGGAGGAGAAGCAGACTCCCCGCCGAGCAGGGAGCCCGATGCGGGACTCGATCCCGGGACTCCAGGATCGTGACCTGAGCTGAAGGCAGACGCTTAACCATCTGAGCCACCCAGGCGCCCCTAAAGATTTTTTTATTTATTTATTCATGAGAGATAGACAGAGAGAGGCAGAGGCAGAGGGAGAAGCAGGCTCCCCGCAGAACAAGGAGCCCGACGCGGTACTCGATCCCAGGACCCTGGGATCATGACCCGAGCTGAAGGCAGACGCTTAACCGACTGAGCCACCCAGGCGTCCCTAGAAAGTATCTTTTTAATTTAAAAGGAATTAGGGTAAAACTAACCCTGGAACCACCTAGAGGATCCTTTGAACACTATTCTCACTGTTTCTTCACCTCTTTTCCCTTTTCTGTGGGGACAAGCACACAGTCACCTTTCAATACTTTACTCCAGCATCATCTTTACTCTAAGCCTTACTTGCTCATCTTTGGCCCTCCCTTGACCCATCTCCACCGTAAAACAGCTAATCCCACATCTCATTCTATGTCTGTATCTTGACGCATGAATATATGCTATTACTTGAACGCATTCATTCATTCATTCATTCATTCAACAGACTTTTAGGGAACTTCTACTATGTGCCGGGCACTGTGGTACGTGCCAGGGATAGAAAGAAGACATTTTCAGGGGCGCCTGGGTGGCTCAGATGGTTAAGCGTCTGCCTTCGGCTCAGGTCATGATCCCAGGGTCCTGGGATCGAGCCTCACATCGGGCTCCCTGCTTGGCAGGGAGCCAGCTTCTCCCTCTCCCTCTACTGTTCCCCCTGCTTGTGCTCTCTCGCTCTCTCTACCAAATAAATAAATAAAATCTTTAAAAAAAAAGAAAGAAGACATTTTCAGGAATTTTAGGGAGGGAGGCAAACAAGTAAATGAGCAATTACTCTATCATGGTCAGTCTCATGTTAGGGTTATATTCGGGGGCTATGGGTGGGAAGTATTCTTTTTTATAACTGTAGTTAAAGATTCCCTCTCTATATATATACATATTATATACATAGTAGATAAATGGAGAGATATAATACAGGTAGTTAGATATATGTATGTATCTCTACATGTATATGGATATATATCTGAGAGATTTAGCTATAGCTATTCATTGTGAGAGTCTATCATTTGGCATTGGCATCTGTCCACCAGCTGTTGGATCCTTTATGAATGAGAAGGTACACAACATGATGGGAGGTCTGGAATAAGGGCCTGGGACGAGCTCCAGATTCCACTCGTGATCTTGGCCTGAAAAGCATGCAAATGTGGCTAACTTGAATTCATCCTGTTTTCCCCAACACTTAGCGCACGACCTTTTCACGTTTTTTTCTTTAATATTTTCTCTCAAGTTATAAAAGAAGTGCACGCTTAACTTGGGAAAGACGGACAAGTCCAAAAGGAAAAATAAACCACTCACTTCTGCACCATCCAAAAATAATCATTGTTAATATTGTTGTGTCTCCAGATTTTTCTCTTACATAATTTCTTTACGATAATAACCACACTAGCTACAGCTTACTATGTGCTAGGCATTGCTCTAAGCTCCCTGCACTTATTTACTCGTCTCCCTGCCTCTTTGAGGGAGGTAGTATTACTTTCCCTGTTTACAGATGGGGAAACTGAGGCCCAGAAAAGTTAAATCGCTTGCCCAAGGTCACAGAGCTTGTAGGGAGCAGAGCTGGATTTTGAACCCAGGCACGCGGGCTCCATAGTCCACAGGTCGAAACTAACCTTGCCCTCTGCACTATCATGCCTCTGTGCCATGGGAAAAGTGAGGTGCACTCTGTGCATGGAAGTTGGAAACACAGACACCCATGAACGGGGAAAAAAATCGCCCACCCCAGGAGAACAGCTCTCAGTACTTACGTGTAAATCAGCCCAGTACGTTCCCCATGCATAAATTCCCCACGCAGCTATGCAAATGAAGTCATGTGATACAGGTCCTTTGCTAACTGCCTTTTTTCCTCTTTTGCAAATATCAGTTGTTTTTCTCATGCTGGTAAGTTCTCTTCTGCGATATGCTTCCGACAGTGGCATCCAAGTCCTCCATCTTCATTGTGCACTTGACCCTCCCTCCCTATGGGGCATCTGGCTGCTTGCGCTATTAGAAATAACGCCAGGTGAACATTCTTATACACACACCTTTGTGCACGTCCCTAATGATAAAGCGGAGTTGCTGGGCCAGGGGAGTACGTGTTGGTAAGGCTCTAATCAACCCCCCAAAGGCTGTCCTAGTGGGTACCCCCTGACAGCGGCTCAGCACCCTGACACTTCTGAGATTCGGGCACCAGGTGGAACCACGGCCAGCTCCATCATTTGCAGGGTCCAGGGCAAAATGAAAATGTGGGGCCCCTTGTTCAGAAAGCAGGAAAAAGCTATTTCCTTTCTTTGCAGTCTCTGATCTGTCCTGGTGCTTTTTATTGGCTGTTTCATGCCGTGTGCCCTGGGGGGATACTTGTGGGGCACGTGCAGACCCTCACAGCACCTGGGGCCATGTAATCTGGTGGGCAGGGCCCAGAGGCTTGGCTCTAAGCCTTCCTGCACCTGTGCCCAAGCCCCCACTGAGCGACAGCGATGTAAACCTGTGACCCAAGGCCACCCGCACGCGCTCCACTGTCCCACCCGGCCTCGCTTACACAATCCAAACCCCAAAAATAGAATTATTAAGAATTTCCAGACAACCATCTCAGAGCGTTAAACCCCAAGTGCGGGGCCTGAGTGTGGAGCTCTTTGACACTGCCGGCCAGATGGGGCAGGTGGGACTGTCACCAAAGAGGGACACGTGAGGCTCGTGTTATTTCTATTCTCTCAATACTTTAGTTCAAAGACACATCACAGCAGAGTGCCCCTGGTAAAGAACGTCATCTGGATCCACAGAAGGGCAAAAAAAGAGCAGGCGAGGGGCGTAGGCAAGGGAGGCCCAGGTGAAGGGCAGGTCACACACAGGCCCTGTGCTACACTCCCTCGGTGGCCCACGTCATCCTTGTGGCGGCCTTCAGGGTCTGTGCTACTG